GGTGCAACCTAGGTGGTTCAATCATAGATCGGCGCTGATCCCAGAAATCCGCGCGGACCTCAGAGTTTTCATGTTTATGCCATGTCTCGTTTTCTTAAATCAATATGGTTCAATCTATGGGGTGCAGTCAATGCCAAATAATGCCAACTGCTGCAAAGCAATGTAAAACAATGCCAAGCAATGCTGGGCAATGCGAAGCATAGCAAAGCAGTGCAAAACGTTGCCAAGCTAGGCAAATCAATGCCCAGTTACGCAATCCAACGCAATGCCAAGCAACGCGATCGCAATGCAAAACAATTCAAGTCAATGCATATCAACACGAAGCTATGTAAAGCAATTCGAACTAATACGAAACTGTTCGAAACCATTCGGTCGCAATGCAAACACAATCCACCCGCGACGGGTGGCGACGGGGTGCGACGAACTGGCCAGACCACCGTTGGGGCTCAGTTATCGGTGGCGACGGCGGCGGCGACTGGCGGCGACGAGGGGCCATACCGCTGAGTGCAACCACTCTTTGGGGAACAGGATTATACGGAAACGAAGCCTCCGCTGCTGGATGCACGCATGTAGCTTTGTCCAGTCCCGCACGAACTCAGAGCGGCACTGGCGGCAGGGGATGTGTGCTGGCTGGCTCCAGAATCTGGCCGCGTTTCTGATTTTGCGCTCTTGTTGCCTCTTGGATCGTCCCTTGGCGGTCCGTGTCATGCTGGCACAGGCGCTGTTCAAGAGAGTTTCATTCTGACCGCTCCGGAGCCCACGAGTGTGGCGACAGTTGCGCAGGCCGCAACCCCCCCCTCGGGCAATGCCGTGGTCTACTCTGGATCTGCGCTGGCCCGCATTATGTCGGAGCCCCCCCTCAGGGGCGCACGAGAATGGCGACAGTTCCGCAGTTCGCAGCCCCCCCCCAGGGATGGTCAGGTCTGACCGGAGCCTGCGCAGGCCCGCACTATGCTGGACTCCCCAGGTTGCCACGAACGTTGGTACTGTTTCGCAGTCTGCATCCCGCAGGGGATGGGCGAGGCATAGTTCAAATTTGCGTATGCCGGCTCCATGTTGGACCCCCCAGCGGCCCACTCGAAAGTGGTGACGTTTTCCCGGTTCGCAGCCCCCTGGGCCCGTCGAGAGTGCATGCCCACACTGTGCTGGATCCCCCAACAACCCACGAAGGTGGCGACAGTTTCGCAGTCCGCAGCCCTCGGGGTATGGCAGGGTCCGCGTCGGCCACTCACAGGACACCGATCGGAGGGCGAGGGCGGGATGGACGGTAGCAGGCCCCAGGCCCGAAGGGGACGGGCGGGAACGAAGCGGAGTCGGAGGATCCCGGGGGGGCGATACGTGGTCGAAGCAGCAGCAGCAGCAAGAGGAAGGGCAAGGAAGGAGGAGGACGACCCAGGAGGCAGGTGGAAGGAGGAAGGAGGGGGTAACGTTTCGACTCTCACCCATGAACAGTCTCCCGAGATAGTGTTACATTTGATCGCTCCGCTCATCCCGCCGGCCCATGTTGCCTCGCCGCTGTCATTCGTCGGGGTGTTGTTGTCAATGCGGTGCGGTTGGGCGGCTGCCATGTTTCGGAGGCGGTGGGTGGCGGATCAGAGGCCTCACGGATGTTGGTTGGGCTCTCGTGGTTGGGCGGCCTCTCAGGGGCCTTTTGGGGGGCAGTTTTGTGGCCTCTTGGGGGCCGTAACTATTGGGGCCTCTTGAGGTCCTCTTGGGGCTTCGTGGGGTGCCTCTTGGGGGTCCCTTGGGGCTTCTTGGGGGCCTCTTGGGGCCTCCTGGGGGCCTCTTGGGACTGAAGGCTGGACTTTTCGGTTCCTGGTCACCTTCTTGGGCCCCTCTTGGGGCCGTTTTGGGGCTCCCTTGGGTCGTCTTGGGTGCCTCTTGGGCTGTCTTGGGGCCATCTTGGGCCGTCTTGGGACTGTCTTGGGGTCCTCTTGGACCCTCTTGGGGCGATCTTGGGAGCCTCTTCGGGCCATCTTGGAGCGTCGGGAAGCCGAAAAAGGAGACCCGAAAATGTATCCAAAACCTATGGGGAATCAATGAACTTTGCCTCTTGGGGTCCTCTTGGGAGTGCTTTTCGAGGCCTTTGGGGGCGTCTGGAGGCCATGGTGGGCGTCTTGGAGCGATCTTGTGGCATCGTCGGCCGATCTTTCGAGGACTCAAAGGGCTCTTGGACCGTCTGGGCGCTCTCTTGAGGCCGTCTTGGGCGCCTCTTGGGCTGTCTGGGGGGCCTCCGTCATCTCTGACGGGGACTTGCCAGGACTTTTGCGGGGTATTTGTCGCGTCGGGGCCCCCAGGGGCCGCCTCGCGCGCGCGAACTTGTTATATTGTTAACTTGTTACCAGAGGTCTTAGCACGCCTATGGCCCGTTGGGCCGGCGAATAGAGTCAGTGTAAGAGCTGAGCGAGGCCGAGTTGAACTGCCAGCCGCTCAGCCTTTCTCTTGCACTTCACATCATGGAACCAGGCGATCCGATGAGGCTTCTGCTATAGGTGAAAGCTCCAACCCGTTGACAGAGCAGAGCTGAGGAGAGCCCGTGAAGTTCAAGTTCTATTTCAAGGACTGCCTCATATGAGGCTACGGCCTCCTGCGCAGGCCGGTAACGGCCCGACCCGCCCTCGCTGGCGGGACGTTTCCGCGCGGAGAGAGAGAGAGAGAGAGAGGCTTCACATCCTGGAAATTCGACGCGCGCCAGCGCGCCGCGAGGTCCGCGGGCGGCCCGCGGGAAAGGAACGTCAGGCCCGAGACCCGTAGCATCAGGAGACGATCGATCGCCGTGGCCCTGGATAAAATCACGCAGTCATGCAACCGCGTGGCGTCCAGGTCGTCCGCGTCTTTGCGCCCGCTGTCGACAACGATCCCAGCCCCCCAGAAAGGATGAGGCCTAATGTGGGTCCGAGTAAGGCGTCGCTGCGAGCAGCCCTCGCGCGTGGCGGCGGTTTCGCATGTCGCAGCACCCCTAAGGATGGCGAAGTCTAACCTGAGTCCGCGTTAGACGTCACTGTGCTGGACTTCCCAGCAACTGTCGAATATGGCGACTAAATCTGCGCAGGGCGTCGCTGTGGTGCCCCCCAAGCAGCCCTCGAATGTGGCGACAATGTCATTGTTCGTAGCCCCACCAGGATGGCGAGGTCTAGTCTGAGTTCGCGTAAGACGTCAGTGTAGTGCTGGCCTCCCCAGCCCTCGAAAGTGATACTTTCACATTTCGCGGTCCCCCGGGGATGGCGAGGCCGAGTGTGAGTCAGCGCAAGGCGTCGCTGTGCCGACCCCTCCCGCCAGCCCTCGGCGACAGTTTCGCACTTCGTAGCCCCCCAGGGATGGCGAGGTCCAGTCTGCGTTCGAGTAAAACTTCACTGTGTTGCCCCCGCCCCTCCGCAGCCCTCGACATTGACAGTTACACACGTCGCACCCCCTACAAATGGCGAGTCCGAGTCTGAGTCCGCGTTAGACGTCACTGTGCCTGTCCCGTCAGCAACCTTCGCAAATCGCGACAGTTTCACATTTCGTGGCCACGCACGGACGGCGAGGTCGTATCTGAATTCGTGTAAAATGCCACCGTGCTGCTTCTCACCAGTCCTCGAATGTGGCGACAGTTTCACATGTCGCAGCCCCCCCAGGGATGGCGAGGTCGAGTCTGGATCTGCGCAAGACATCGCTGTGGTGACTCCCCCCCGGCAACGCTTGAAAATGGCGCAAGTTTCACATTTCGCAGTCCGCAGGGATGGCGAGGTCTAGTCCGAATACGCAGGAGACTTCACTGGTGCCCCCCCCCAGCAGCGTGTCGACCGTTTCACCCCTCGCAGCTCCCAGGGATGGCGATGTTTAAACTGAGTCCGCGTAAGACGTTACAGTGGTACCTTCCCAAGCAGCGTGGCGGCCCGGCCGTTTCGCACTTCACAGCCCCCCAGGGTTGGCGAGGTTTCGTGTGACTCTGCGTAAGGCGTCAGTGTGCTGGCTTCCCCGGCAGCCCCTGAAAGTGGCGAGAGTTTCACAGTAGTATGGGTCTGCGTAAGACGTTGGTGTGCTGGCCTCCCCAGCAATCCTCGAAAGTGGCGATGGTTTCATTTTCGCAGCCTCCCAGGGATGGCGGGGTCTAGTATGAGTCCGCGTAAGACGTCACATTACCCCAGGGATTGCGAGGTCCTGTCTGAGTCCGTGTAGAACGTCACTGTGCTGGCCCCCCTTGGCAGCCATCGAAAATGGCGACAGTTTCGCACCATCGCAGCCCCCCCCGGGATGGCGAGGATTAGTGTGAGTCCGCGTCGGACGTCAGTGCGCCGGCCCTCCCACCAACCCTCGAGCGAGGTCGAGTCTGAGTCCGCGTAGGACGTCGATGTGGTGGCCCCCCCAAGTACACTGTCGGAACTGGCGATAGCTTTGCACTTCGCAACCCCTACGGGGTGACGAGGTTGGCGTCAGACAGGAGGGTGGGTAGAACACAGGATGCAGGAAACAGGAAAACAACATAGGATATAGTAGGACAAGAGGAATAGAGAGAAGAGGGGGGGAAAGGCGAGGAGGGTGTCGGGAGGAATGATATGTAACTCCAGTGCTCTTTTCAAAGCGAGAACCCGACGCAGGAGGGTTGGGAGCAGAAGCGTCGGTATATGTTTATTGAAATCCATACGCACACATGTGCATCCATTAAAGTGTGGCTACGTGTACAGACGTGCAATCATATCTGTGCCAACACGCGCAGGGAACAGAGTCTTGTATAAATGCTGCTGGACCTCATGTTCATTTTCACCATTGCCACCTTCGTCCTCAATCGCCTTCCCCGCCTCCTCCTCCTCCGCCTCCTCCTCCCCCGCCTCCTCCTCCTCCTCCGCCCCCGCCTCCTCCTCCTCCGCCTCCTCCTCCTCCGCCTCCTCCTCCTCCTCCTCCTCCCTCTCCTCCTCCTCCTCCTCCTCCTCCTCCTCCTCCTCCTCCTCCTCCTCCTCCTCAGCGGCCCGCGGGCGCGCGGGCCGGCGGCCGCCGGTGGACGCCGCGGGCGCGCGTGCGCGCGGGCGCGCCGGCGCACCGCGCGGCCGCGCGCCCCGGAGGCCAGCGTTCGGGGGCGACGCCGGCCGACGAGGCCAGCGCGTGGCCCCCTGCGCCCACGCCGCGTCGCCGCGCGTAGATCTCGGAAGGAGAGGCGCTAGGCTCGGCTGCACCCAAGAAATAGGGGGAACAAGAAGTGGCAGAAACACAAAAACTCGGAGGTCCGCGCTGGACCCCCCTCCCTGGCGCGCGGAGCGCGCCAGGGGCGGCGCCGGAGGCGCCGCCGGGGGTCCCCAGCGCCGATCCGAGAGATCCGCGCGGACCTCTGAGTTTTTATGTTTATGCCACTTTTCGTTCCCCTAAAGAATGACCATTCCCCCGAGGGATCTTTGGCGTGGGCTTGCGCGCCCAGGCGTGGCCCCCCTCGCGCCCCCCCCCTCATTATAAGCCGCGCGCCAAAGGTCGCTCTTTCTCAGGGTCACTCCTGCGTGTAGCCGACAGGCGTGTGGCATGTCCCATGGAGACACCGCCAGGCGCAAGATCGTCGTTGGCTTCACGGTGCACGAGGCGAAGGAACTCAGCAAGGATGGCGTTGCCATCGACCCGCTCGTCATCGTGAGGGCCGCAGGGAGGGAGTTCAAGACGCAGATGAAAACGGGCAAGATCCAGCACGCGAAGTTCGAAGAAGGGCACATATGGAACGACCTGTACTTGACAGAAGACGAGTTCAACATGTCCTTCATAGACTTCGAGCTCCAGGCCGCCAACGCCTTCACGCGGAACGACGTGGTCGGGTCCGCCAGGGTGCAGCTTGCCATGGTGCGCAAGCGGGGGAACCACACCGTAGTGGGGAAGTGGCTGCAGCTCACCAGCTGCCACGAGAGCACCGCCAGGCTGCGGGCGACCATCTTCTGCTACGGGGAGGGGGACGCGCCTCCGGCGGCCACGGAGGTCACCAACTGCGAGGAGGAGGCCGCCGCGCACGTCGCGGACCTGAAGAACGCCGTGCTGGACACGGTGGGGCGCAAGGACCAGGGCCAGCAGCAGACTGGGCAGAGCTACCACCTCTTCGTACAGGTTCACCGCGCGGAGGACCTGGGAGGTGGCGATAGGATGTACAACCCGTACGTGACGGTCGAGTTCAACGGCCACAAGCTCGCTTCGCAGCACGTCAAGGACGCCAATAAGCTCAACTTCGAGGAGCAGTTCCGGTTGCCCGTGCAGACGCCCCTGCTGGCGGACGCCATCGTGATCCGGGTCTGGAGCAAGAACAAGTGGGGTGCGGACGACATCATCGTGCAGGGCCGGCTGTCATTCTCCCTGATCCGCATGCACGCCATGCCGCCGCAGTGGTTCACCTTCTACGGCTTCTCGTCGAAGGAAGTGCCCGACGTCGAGCAGATCTGTGCTATTGGAGAGGTGGTGGAGGAGAACACTTACCAGGGTAGGCTTCTGATCAGCAGCCACGTTGCCAAGGTCAAGCACGGCAGCCTTCTGAAGGCCGCTACGATCAACGGCGGCGCCTTCGAGGAGCCAGCCTCTGCGCAGATAACGCTGCTGGCGGACGTCTACGAGATCAGCGGCATCGACGGCTCCCAAGCCTACGTCACCATGTCTCTCGGCAAGACGTGCAAGAAAACCAAGACGGTGACTAGGGAGGAAGACGAGCCGAACTTCAACATGGCTGAGGGGGATGCGGGCCGCATGCCGCTGCTGGTCGGCGTGATGCCCGTGGACCCCAAGAACCAGATGGATGTGATCGTGTCGCTGCACGTGAAGACCAGCTCTAACGTGCTCGGCATCAGCGAGGATGGCTTTCGACGCGTCGGTTTCGTTCGACTCAAACTTTCCGAGATCCGCGACTGGGAGGGGGACTCGCACATCCCCAAATGGATGGCCATGAGGCCCATGGTGCACTTGCCCAGCAGCGTGAAGCCAGGAGCGATACTGCTGACCCTCTCGAAGACGAGTAAGGTGGCTGTAAAGGACAGGGTCAAGCCCACTTTCAAGAAGATGTCCTTCCAGCTACGCTGTTACCTGTGCGCAGCCAGGGGCCTGAACAACCAAACGGAGGAGATGCCGAAGGCCTTCTGCGAGGTGTCTTGCGCGGGGCAGTCTGCTCGGACGCAAACGGCGGATGACCCGCCCACGGCGGCACCGCGCTGGGCGGAGTGCCTGACGATACTGATCGAGCTGCAGTACTCGGTTCAGCACTCCCGGGTGTACCCAGAACCGATCCAGATAGTAGTCTACGATGACCTGGAGGGTGCAGGCAGCGCGTACGATAAGCTCGCCATGGCCTATGAGACCGCCAAGGAGGTTGCTCAGTCCCAGGACGCCTTGAAGGAATTGCAGAACCGCGGCAAGGCTGCCGTTGAAGGGATCGAGAACCAGGAGGAGTTCGGCGTCAAGTTGAAGAAAGGTGCTTTGGATATGTTTGGCGCCCTTCAGGACACGGTAGGCGCCATAGGTGGCGACGTGTTGGCAAAGAAGCGGATGGGTGCCATAGTCAACGGGCGCCGCGTGATGGGGCGCGCTCACGTCCATTTCAACAACATCCTCAAACCCCCGCACAGCAAGGGCATCACGCCTATGTGGATCAAGCTGAGGGGGGGCGTGGGTGGCTCGAACCACTCGGGTGACATCCTCGTCGGCTTCGAGATGCTGAAGCCGAAATACGCGTCGAGGGCCTACTGCAACGACCCTATCCTGCCGAAGAAGGCGACGCCTCCCGGGGCCAGGCAGTGCGTCATCTCCGTGGCCGTGGCCGGTCTCCGGGGCGTGGTCGTCCCCGAGGGCTACAGCGCCCTGGACAAGCCCCGCCTGGAAATCGCGATGGCCAAGTTCCGAAAACAGGACACGTCCGAGAAGGACGACAATCAAGGGAGGAAAAACCACCCGGACCCGACAGTTGGCGTTTATTCAACGGCCCCGGGCATTTACTAACAGCGTTGCCCTGTTCGATTCCTTCTTTGAGTGCGTTTGCTAAACGGCTTTGCGTGTCGGGGTGATCATTATGGGGGTGGATTTTCTGCCCTCTAGACAAGGACGACAAGGGCGACAAGGCTGGCGAGGAGGTGGAGGAGGAGAACCAGGCGAACGAGCAGGCAGCTGCCAAGGCGAAGCCGAAGGCGAAGGGCAAGGCCAAGGAGAAGGGCAAGGAAAAGGAGGACGTGGGCACCGAGAAGATCAGGTTCACCCGCAAGCCCCCGGAAGGCCAGGAGGTGAACAAGGACGACTACAACAGGAAGTGGACGACTCAAGGCGTCTCTGGCTGGGAGTTCCTCCGGGTCGTCCACCTGCCCGCCTTGATACCCAACGTCGCCGTTTGGGAGCCCGACCTGAAGATACGGCTATTGGACGAGAAGGACCGCCTCGTGGCGGAGGGGCGCGCGAGCATCGCGGACCGCCTCCCGTGGGACAACACGCAGGGGAAGAGGACGCGCGCCCTCAGGTCGGTCCAGTCGCTGGACGACTGGCCCCCAGACCCCGACCTGGAGGAGGACGGCGGCGTCCCCGTCAGCGACGAGGACGACGACGCGAACTACAAGACGGTCGAGTTCGGCGAGGAGCCCCTGCAGATGCGCTTCAACGGCAGCGACGCGAAGCTCTTCCCGCCCGTGCTGGAGGCGCTGGCCAAGAGCTCCGCCGCGCGGCGGGCGGGCGTGAAGGCGGGCGACTGGCTCGTGGGGTACACCCGGCCGAGGGAGAAGGAGAAGCCCACGGGGCACTGGTCGCAGGCGCAGGCCGCCGCGTTCCTCCAGAGCATGGAGGAGGAGAGGGTGCGGCCGCTCACGCTGCGCTTCCGGCGGAAGGGCCGCGACGAGGTCTCCGTGAGGCTGGCGGAAAGCAGCCAGAAGACGATGCTGGACTTCGAGAACGACGAGAGCGTCAGGCCCCCGAAGATCCTGAAGGACAACACAAAGGACGGCTGGTGGACGAAGCAGGGAGTGAAGAAGGGGTGGCGGATCGTCGACATCAACGGCTTCGACTGCCGGGCCTTGCACGGGACCCACGATTTCTTCAAGAAGCTGCTGGGTATGCGGCCCATCATCGTCACGTGCAGGGACGCGAAGCCTGCCAACGCCTCGGCGGAGCGGGAGCTGCAACTGCGCGCGAAGGTCATGCTCAGCGGCGTGCCGTCCAGCTACGTAAAGGCCCTCGAGCACAAGCTGAGGCACACCGACGCCACCCTCGACGGCACGCTGGTGCCGCGGTGCTCGCCGATACTGCCGCCTGTCGGGGATTCGAAGGCGATGAACATGTGGCCCTCCCGCGATGGCTGCCTCGACGTGCAGGGCAAGCCCGTCCCTGTTGCGACGGGAGATGTTGACGGCTCGGACGAGCGTTCGCGACCCACCGTCGAGGGCAGGCTGGAGGACTCGATGACGAAGCCCGAGTTCGAGGCGATTCCGCTGTTCAACGGCAACTACAAAGTCGGTGTCGTGAAACTGGCGTACACGGTGAAGAATCCGGTGCCGTTTGACATCAATTGGGTCAGCAACCCCAAGCACAATCAAGATAAGTGGGAGAAGGAGATCTTCGATGAGAAGAGGCTGCGGAGGCGCTTCAAGGTGGGGCAGCCAGCAAAGCTGCGGGTCCGCACGTACATCACGCGCGGCATCAGCGTGAGCGGTGCTCTCCAGGGAGTGGGCAACCCCTTCTTGTACTTCTCGTACGGCAGCGACACAGTGAAGCTAGAGGGGCGTCGGAAAATGAACACCTCGGAGCCACGGTTCTTCACGACGGAGGAGCGCGACATCCAGCTGCCTGACCAGGCCCTTTTCGAGGTGGGCCTGTACGACTGGCAGCAGTACGGCGAACCCCTTCTTATCGGCAAGACCCTGATAGACCTGGAGGACAGGTGGTTCACAGAGGACTATCAGGAGTACATGAAGAAACATCAGGTGCCGATCGAGTATCGGCCGATCCTCAGCGGCGACGCGGGCTCCCTCTGCAAGGGCTCGCTGGAGATGTGGGTGGAGCTCCTGGATTCTCAGGAGGCGGCCGAAGTGAGGAAAAGCCCCCTCTTCCAGCCGCCGCCAGTCGAGGTGGAGATGCGTGTCATCGTGTGGGGCGTGCGGAACATGTCCCTGCGGATGTGCGTGGACGAGTTCGGGGACGAGCGCGGGCGAGTGGACGTCCTGGCGCGCTGCGCCCTGTCGTGCTCGGCCTTCCTCGGGCCACAGCCCGACGCCCAGGAGACCGACATCCACTACGGCTCCGAGGGCGAGGCGGAGTTCAACTGGCGGTTCGTGTACTCCAAGATCGCCGTCACCAAGGGCGTGCCTCTGCAGTGCCACCTGCAGCTGAGCCTGTGGGAGCACTTCTCGCTGAAGCGCCCGGTGCTGCTGTGCGAGAACCTGATGGACATGAAGAACTACTGCACCAGGGTCGCGCGCACGAGAGACGTGTTCGAGATCGAGAGCGAGGTGCCCCTCACCAACCGGATGCTGACGAAGCTGCTGCAGGCGCCGAGTGTTCTCGAACGAGAGGAGGAGGATGGGGGTCTGATGATGATGCTGCTGATGATGGATGACGATGGTGGTGATGATGATGAGGATGCTGATTGATGATGATGATGATGATGATGATGATGATGATGATGATGATGATGATGATGATGATGTTGATGATGATTGTGGTGGTGGTGATGATGACTATGATTCTGATGATGCTGATGATGATGATGGTAGTGATGGTGATCATGGTGGTGGTGGTGATGATGATGATGATGATGACAATCACAACGAAGGTGGTAGTGGTGGTGGTGATGATGATGACGATGATGCCGATGGTTATAGTGGTGGTGGTGGTGATGATTGTGATGATGATGATTACGATGGTGATCATGGTGGTGGTGGTGGTGATGATGATGACGGTGACAGCGAAGGTGTAAATTTTGGTGGTGGTGGTGGTGATGCTGACAATGATGACGATGACGATGATGATGATGGTGATGATGACGATGATGATGATTGTTATAGTGATGGTGGTGGCGATGATTATGATGATGCTGATAGTGCTGCTGCTGATGATGATGTTGATGATGATTGTTCTAGTGATGGTGGTGGTGATGCTGCTGCTGACGACGACGATGCTGTCATGATGATGACGATGATGGTGCTGGTGATGATGACATGATTGGTCTAGTGATGGTCATCATGATGACGACGATTTGTCTAGTGATGGTGCTGGTGATGCTTTCATGATGATGACGACGATGATGCTGATGATGCTGCTGCTGATGATGATGATGACGACGATGATGATGATGCTGGTGGTGGGGGTGGTTGTGGTGATGACGATGATGATGATGGTGATGATGGTGATGGCCATGATGACGATGATGATGGTGATGATGGTGATGATGACGATGATGATGGTGATGATGGTGATGATGATGACGATGATGATGATGGTGATGATGGTGATGATGATGGTGATGATGCTGGTGATGATGATGATGATGATGATGATGATGGTGGTGGTGGTGATGATGATGATGATGGTGATGATGATGATGATGATGATGATGATGGTGATGATGGTGATTATGATGACGATGATAATTATGGTGATGATGATGGTGATGATGGTGATGCTGGTGATGATGATGATGATGATGATGATGATGATGATGTTGTTGTTGTTGATGATGATGATGATGATGATGATGATGATGATGATGATGAGGATGATGAGGATGATGATGATGATGATGATGATGATGATGATGATGATGATGATGATGATGATGATGGTGATGATGCTGGTGATGATGCTGGTGATGCTGGTGATGATGGTGATGATGGTGATGATGGTGATGGTGGCCGCTTCGACAGGAGCCGACGCATCCCCCTCAGTGCATGCCCGGACTCCCCGACCCCCCTCCTCCCGGCCCACGGGCACTCCACGCCGCCCCCGGCGCAGGGCGGGGACGCCGGGGTGCAGCCGCTGGCAACACCACGGGGGTCTCGAAGAGGTCTTCCAGGAAGGCCCGACGAGGCCCACGTCACGGGAGGCCCGAAGAGGCCCGAGGAGGCCCGAGAAGGTCGTCCAGGAAGGCCCGAAGAGGCCCGAAGAGGCCCACGTCACGGGAGGCCCGAAGAGGCCCGAAGAGGCCCGAAGAGGCCCGAAGAGGCCCGAGAAGGTCGTCCAGGAAGGCCCGAAGAGGCCTACGTCTCATAGGAGGCGTTCCAAGCGCGGGGCCCTGCTCTCGAGGGTCGCAGGAGTTGTCATCGCTTCCCCGGCGGAGGGCGGCGGAAGGGCGCGGGAGGGTCGGCGGGAGCAGGACGAGGCCGCCGGCGGAGGGGCGGCGGAAGGGCCGCGGAGCGTGGCGGAAGTTGGAGATGTGGCCCCTTCAGAGATGACGGCACTCTTGGGTTCCGCGTTCCTGGAATCCGCCATAGATTTTCCTTAGGTCTTTGATTGGGAGCGGCAAAGAGGGGGGTGATGACCAAGGGGGGGTGGATGTCATGGCGGGGGCCATGATATTTCCCCAGATTTCACGGCGCCTCTTCTTGTTTCAATACGTTCCCTGGCCCCCCCCTGGGGCCGCGCACATGCCGCCAGCCATGATTTGCACCCCCCCCCTCTTGGACACCCCCCTCTTGGTCGCTCCCGATTTGAAGGATCTCAGCATGTGCTTCGAAACGGCCTTCCGACGGCCCAAGACGGCTCAAGAGGCCAGATGCATCGACCCCCAATCGGCCATGCATCGCTGGCAGGGGTCTCTGATAGCCCCACCCCGTCCAGGTACAGGCGGACCCCGCCCGCTCTCCTGGGTGCCCCCCAGGGTGCTGGCTGCAGACCACACCCGCTGCAAACCACACCCTGCTGAATCGCCGAGTGTATCCCAAAGAGGGGTCAAGGAACGCACCCAGCCAGGTGCTAAAATTTCCTTCTTCGAGCGGCTATTTGGAGTGATGATCCTCTAGCCCCCCTTGGTCGGGGAAGAAACAAGCAGCATAGAGACCTCAAACCTTTTGGGGTCCGCGCGGATTTCTCAGATCTCCGCTGGGTCCCCCTCCCTGGCGCGCGGAGCGCGCCATGGGTGGCTCTGGAGGCGCCGCCAGGGGCTCCAGCGCAGATTCCAAAATCCAACGCGTACCTCCGAAAGTTTATGCTTATGCCGTTGCTTGTTCTTTTAGATTCGGGGCGATTGTTCTCTAGTCCCAACTTTCGGTTGTATATGCCGTTGTCAATTTCTTCACCTTCCTCTGGTTCACTCCGTTATTCATGCCGTTCCCGCTCTTGCTGTTAGTGCCGCCCTTCTTCCTCCGAAGCCGTATTGTTACGCCGTTGTGTGCTCCTTCAGCTCCTCCGGCCCTACCCTTCCGGCCCCCGAGTGTGGAGGGTGCCCGAGTGCGCGGCCCGCTTAGCTTCTATCGGAAGAGGCTCGCTCCTCGACCCGCAGATCGAAAAAGTGGAGGGCGCCCGTGCTCGCTTCGCTCTCCGCCGCGAGCGCCCGGGGCGCAGCGACGGCGCAGCGGCCGCGCCTCCCGGCCGCCTTGGGCCCGTGCGGGCCGCCGGCACGGGCATTGGCCGGTGCCGCTGGAAGTGCAGCCGATGGCACAAGCACGGTATAGACTTCGCGATTTGTGCGTGCCATCCTTGCGTGGGGGCACGGGCATTGGCCGATGCCACTGGAAGTGCAGCCGATGGCACAAGCACGGTATACACTCCTCGATTTGTGCGTGCCATCCTTGCGCGGGGGCCATGCGAATCGCCTCCGTGTCGTTCCAGTTTTTACGGAGGATTCCCGAAGGGGAGTCCGCTGGCAGAAGCATGAGCTTGCGGAGGTCCGCGCGAGTTTCTTGGGTCGGATCTGGAGTCCCCTGTCGGCGCGGCGCGCTCCCCGCGCCGGGGAGCGGGGTGCAGCGCCGATCCAAGGAGGTCCGCGCGGATCTCCGACAGTGCAGGTTTTGAGTTTCCATGAGAAGTGTTTGCGCTCAGGGCCTGGGCTGGTGTGGCGGTCAGGCGGCTACGCTGTTGCCGTCGCCGCCAATTCGCCGCCTCGTCGCCGCACGGTCTTGGCTGGTGTGGCGGTCAGGCGGCTACGCTGTTGCCGTCGCCGCCCCTTCGCCGCCTCGTCGCCACACGTCGTGTGAGCTGGTATGGCGGTCAGGCGGCTACGCTGTTGCCGCCGCCGCCCCTTCGCCGCCTCGTCGCCGCACTTCGTCTGGTGTGGCGGTCAGGCGGCTACGCTGTTGCCGTCGTCGCCCCTTCGCCGCCTCGTCGCCGCACGTCGTCTGGGCTGGTATGGCGGTCAGGCGGCTACGCTGTTGCCGCCGCCGCCCCTTCGCCGCCTCGTCGCCGCCTGGCGTCTGGGCTGACGTGGCGGTCTGGCGGGTATGTCGTCGCCGCCGCCTGCCCGTCGTCGCCGCCTCGTCGCCGCCCGTGTGCCACATGGATTGCGTCACATTGATTCTCATTTTTTAAAAAAGAATAGACTCTACCCCCCCCGCCCCCCCCCGGCGTTATCGGTCCCCCTTTCGGGTATGTCAATCAAATATGATTCTGACCACATGTCCACCCTGAATATGAATTTACACTATTCCCAGGGGGCCGGGTTCCCCCCCCTGAGGCTCCCTTGTAAAAGACACTATGCGGTGACATTTTTTGTTCTAATATAACACTTTTTCACGAATCCCTTGTTAATAATGTGACGAAGTGCACGCGCACGTCGTCGCGCGCGCATGCCGAAATCCTTCAAAAACCTTCGGTGCCGGAAGGATTTCGCAATCGAGTTTTCAAACAACATACAAAAACACAGGGTTTCGTAACACTGATTTGCTAAAAAAGCTTACGCGCGAGCTCTTGCGAAATCTTAAGAAAAACGTTGGTTTTTAAAGATTTTCGCAATAAGCTACCAAACGGGCGTCGCGCGCGCATGGCGAAATCTGTCGAACGCCCTTGCGCGTGTGCCGTCGCGAGAATCCTCCGCAACAAATGGGACGAAGTGCAAACGCGCGCGTCGTCGCGCGCGTATGCCGAAAACCTTCAAAACCCATCGGTTTCGGAAGGATTTCAAAATCGCGCGTCCAAGAAACCTACCAAAACCCAAGGTTTCGCAACACGGATTTTCAACAAAAGCGTGCGCGCGCGCGCTCTTGCGGCGTCTTCGTCGTCGTCGTCGTCGTCGTCGTCGTCGTCGTCGTCGTCGTCGTCGTCGCCGTCCTCCCTCCTCCATCGTCGTCGTCGTCGGTGTCGTCGTTCTCTGTCTTTCCTCGTCGTCGTCGTCGTCTTGGCGTCGTCGTCGTTTCCGTCGTCGTTGTCGCCGTGGTCGTTGTTTCCTCTTCCCTCGACGTCGTCGTCCGTCGTCGGCGTCTCGTTGTCGACCCTCCTATTTCGTCGCCGTCGTCGTCGTCGTCGTCTTCTCTCCTCCCTCGTCGTTGTCGTCGTCGGCGTCGCCGTCCTCCTTCCTTCTTCGTCGTTCGCGTCGTTGCCGTCCGCCCTCCTCCCTCGTCGTTGTCGTCGTCGTCGTCGCCGTCGTCGTCCTCCCTCCTCCCTCGTCGTCGTCGTCGTCTTCGTTGGCGGCGTCGTTGTCGTCGTCGTCGTCGTCGTCGTCGTCGTCGTCGTCGTCGTTGTCTTCGTCGCCGTCGGCGTCGGCGTCGTCGTCGTCGTCGGCGTCGTCGTCGTCGTCGGCGTTGTCATCGTCGCCGTCGTCGGCGTCGTCGTCGTCGTCGTCGTCGTCGTCGTCGTCGTCGTCGTCGGTGTCGTCGTCGTCGTCGTTGTCGTCGTCGAAGTCGTTGGAGACGTCGTTGGTGTCGTCGTAGTCGGTGTCGGCGGCGCCGTCGTCGTCGTCGTTGTCGCTGTCGTCGTCGGCGACGGTGTCGTGGCCAAGTGCCATGTGGTACCTACCGTCACGGTCTTGTCTGAAGAGGTTTTGCGACCAAGTTGCGGGTGGGAGGGTGGGATGTTTGCACGAGCAGTGGAGAGGACAGCTTCAAGACGGTCAAAGTGGATTGCACATCATAGATTGCACCGCAAAGATTGCACAACACATATCGTACCACATAGATCCTCCTTTTCTATAAGAATGAGGATCTACCTTCCCGCGGGGTTTAGGGGGGCACCTTTTCTTATTTCAATTTACATTTGATTGTGGCCCATCGTCCATCCTAAATGCGAACTCGTACCATCCTAGCCAGGCCGGAGTGCGCCCTCCCCCCCCCCGTCATCCTTTGCAGCAGATTCTATGCGCGCGCACTCGTTCATAAAACATCAGCACTTTTCTAGAATTCCTGGCAAACAATTCGGGTTCTGGTTACCCTGTTCTCAGTTCTAGATTTTAGTGTTCTTGGGTTCCTGGTGACAGGAAATCGTTGAGGGGGGGGGAGAAGGGGGATGAGAGACGAAGGACTGACCAGGGAGGAAGGGAGAGGAAGAAATGGGGGTGGGGAAGGGAGGGGGGGAAGGGAGGAGGAGGAGGGTAGGAGGGAGGACGACGGGGGAGGAGGAGGGAGGAAGAGGGAGGACGAGAAGGAGGATCGGAGCAGTTCCAGCATGCATCACTGATGCCGGGGAACGCGCCTTCCGGTCCCAGGTTTACTCTTCTCCTGCTCCCTCCACTGCACGCGCTGGAATGACGAGGGTCCCATGCGCCTGCCACAGGTTGAACGGCTTGGGCGGGCTAGATCGCCGATAGCCCAGTGCATCTGGAGTCGGGAAGGCTGGGCGGGTACGCGAAGAGAACCGCGCGTCGCACGTCGTGGGGCGCGGCGCGCGAAGTGAGGTGACCAAGACGATCACGCAGCAGTGTGGCCGCACGAATTCGGATATTGTGGCCCAAATCGGTCACCTTCTCCGTGCCCCTCCGATGCCCCCGTGGAGGAGGAGGAGGAGGAGGAGGAGGAGGAGGAGGAGGAGGAGGAGGAGGAGCAGGAGGAGGAGCAAGGAGGAGAGCAGGAGAAGGAGCAGGAGAGTAGGAGGGGAGGAGGAGAAGGAGGAGGAGGAGGGGAGGGAGTGATCAGGAGAAGAGGATGAGGAGCAGGAGAGAGGAGGAGGAGGAGGAGAAGGAGTGAGGAGAGGAAGGAGGAGGAGGAGAAGGAGGAAGGAGAGAGCAGGAGGAGAGGAGGAGGGAGGAGGGAGGAGGAGGAGGAGGAGGAGGAGAGCCCGCAGGGAGGAGGAAGGAGGGGAGCAGGCAGGAAAGGAGGAGAGGAAGGGAGGGGAGGAGGAGGAGGAGGAGGAGGAGCAGGAGGAGGAGGAGGAGGGGGAGGAGGAGGAGAAGGAGCTTGATGCTTTGGTGGTGCTCAGGCCGAGGCCGAGGAGAAGCAGTGGGACTCCGTGCCAAACGAAGGCGGTGACAGCAGCTCCGAGGCCCTGGCGTCGCCGCGGCGGCGCCGTCGCCGCCGCCGCCGCCGCCGCCGTTGCCGTCGCCGTCGCCGTCGCCGCCGCCGTTCCCGTCGCCGCCGCCGTCCCCGTCGTCGTCGCCGTCGCCGTCGCTGTCGCCGCCGTCGCCCTCGCCGCCGTCGTCGCCGTCGCCGCCGTCGTCGCCGTCGTCGTCGCCGTCGTCGTCGTCGCCGTCGCCGCGTCCGCGGGCCTCATGGCGGCGCCGCCGCCGTCGCCGCTGTTGCTGCTTTGCCTTTTCCTTCCAGGCGGGTGTGCCTGCACGCGCGGGTGGTGTGTCCTCGCGTATGTGGCTGCACAAATGCGCGCGTGCTCGTGCTACCTGTCTTCCCCCTGGAGTGCCCCCGCGGTCTCAGAACTCAGCCCCATACGCTGCGATTCTGGCACAACGTTACCAGGCCTCTTCGCTCGATGTCTACTGCGGTGCGGCCGTTGCGGAACGCACGCCAAGAGCTCAACTGGATTGGTGGGACCTGCGGGCCTGTCGGACACCTGTCGGGCCTGCGGGCCTGTGGCTCCGCTGTCGCCCTTTGCGGCCCCCTCGCTTTCCTACGTGGCCCAGTTGCTACCCTCAGTGGCCCCGTCGTTGCCTTGTGTGGCCCCGCATTATCTGCCCTTCGTGGCCCCCGCTCGTTCGCGCTTTCGTGGCCCCATACGCATTTCCTTCGTGTCCCCGCTGTCGCCCTTCGTGGCCTCCTTCGCGCCCTTCGTGGCCCTGCTGTCGTTTTCTCTCTCTCGCTCTCGCTTTCGCTCGTCGTCGTCGTCGTCGTCGCCGTCGTCGTCGTCGTCGTCGTCGTCGTCGTCGTCGTTAACGTCGTCGTCGTCGTCGTCGTTCTCGTCGTCGTCGTTGTCGTCGTCGTCGTCGTCGTGGTCGGTCCCCTGTCCGTGGTCGGGTTGCCGCCGATCAGCGATGCCGCTGGCCAGGCCGACGGTCCGCGGCCGCCCCGCCGCTTGCCGGGGCCCGGCTTGCATGGAAAAAAGGTATTAAGGTATACCCCCCAATGGGGTACGATTGAAGGCGGAGAGGGCGGGTATCGAGGGTTTGGGACATACGCGCTCATGGACATTCGGACAACTAAGAGCGAACAGTCTTAACATAATTGTTGTTGTTGTTGTTGTTGTTGTTGTTGTTGTTGTTGTTGTTGTTGTTGTTGTTGTTGTTGTTATTGTTGCATTTGAACTCTCAGTACTGAAGAGTAACTATTGTTGAGCCCCCTTGTGCTTTTCAATTGAAGTGCCCCCCCCGGGGCTCGCACCCTGTTTTCACCAGGGAGAGTCACTCAGCTGAAACTGCGTTGTTGCTCCCGAGATTACAAGAACAACGGCTCCCGCCTGACACTCCCTCACAATTTAGCCACGACCCCCGCTCCCGCTTGAGTTTTCCTCGCATTGTACTCAGGAATCGCGCTCTCGCTTGGGACTTCTTTGCACGTTTCGCTCTCTCGGCGCTCTGGAGTCGCGCTCTCGCTGGGGACTGGCTTGAAATATACTCGTGAATCGCGCTCTTGCGTTGGAGCGCCCCGTAGTTTACTCAAGCGCCGCGCTCCCGACACTGAGGCACCCAGGAGTCGCGCTCACGCTCAGGACTCCCTCACAGCTTACTTTGGAATCGGGATCTTGCTGCCCTTCCTGGCCCCGTTGCAGCCCTTCTTGGCCCCCTCGCTGCCTTTCGTGGGCCCGTTGCAACCTTTCGTGTCCTTCGCTGCCTTTCGTGGCCCCGTTGCAGCCCTTCGTGGCAATCTCGCTGCCCGTCGTGGCCCCATTGCAGCCCTTCGTGGTCCTCTCGCTCTTCGTGGCCCGAAATATGTATGCCGTTCGT